GGCCTGGGCAGCGGGCGGCAGCGGCGCGGAGCGGGCACGGCGCCTGCAGCCGGGCTCTGGGCCCTGGGGCGCCGCCTCCGCCGGCGGTTTCTGCACGGTGGGTGCCGTGGGGGCGCGGGGAGGAGGAGGGCAGGCGGGCACCTGGGGAGGACACCCCCGTCGTTAGCTACTGTGCGCCGGCCCGGGGCCGTGGGCTCCCCGCTGGAACGCTGCAAGCCGCTGCCCACCCGTTGGCTTCCCGGGCTGGGCCTGGCGGTCCTGGCGGTGGCCGGGACAGCGGGGCGCTCCCTTCTCGCTCTTCTCCCCCCATCCCCGCTCCCGCCCTCGCCCCCGGCCGCCTCCCCCCACCCCCAAGTGCGAGTGTTGGGAGGCGCTGCGCAAGGACGGCGGAGAGGGCGGGGTGAGCTGGAGAAAACTGTTTCAGGGACTGCGGGGTGTTGGGGGGGTGGGACTCGAGGGGGCATGCACGCCCCAGAACCCACTGACAGGTCGCGCCCCAGTCTCTTCCGCAGCTCCGCAGGACCTGGAGGAGGGTATTGGGAAAGGCATCTAACCAACAGGGCTTCCTTCTCTCAGGACCATTGCTGCGGGGCTCTGGTTGGGTTAGGAGGGAACCATGGGGTAGTCCCGGGTCCCCCTGGGACCCCTTCTCGCACATCAGGTTACTTAAGAAGGTAAGCAAGCTTCTTCAGGTAACCGGCCCACTTTAGAAGGCACTCTCCTGTCCCTTTTCCCCAAGAAGGCTAGGCCTTCCATCTGGACTCCTGGACCCTGGAGTGGCAGAGACAGGCTTTGCCTGAGTATCTGGGAGAGCTGGCAAGCCTGGAAGCCTTGGCTCATTTGCAGAAACGGATGGGCCATTTGGGGATAGAGGTGGAGAGGCGGGTGCAAGGAGGAAATCAAATCAATTGACTGTTGGGAGTCAGCTCCAGCCAGAAGATTATCCGGCCCTTGTGTGTAGGAGTGGCACCTTCTCGGTGGTGGTCAGGGTAGAGGGGGTCTGTGGTACAGGTCTGTGTCTGAGAGAAACTTGCACTGTTTGTGCTGGTACATCTTGGGACACTCTACCCACAATCTTAGTTCAGTGAGCGTGAGAAACAGGCTCCGCACCATAGTTGGGTACCTGCCGTCAGCAACCTCTCCCACTCCCGAAACCTCCCTTTCCCTAGGGTTTAAACATCACCTCCTCTTTCATTGCTTTTCAGCAAATCTGGCTACAGCTTGAATGGCAGGCTTATCTTCCTGTGCAGGTTTCTAGGGGAGAGTTTAACCAGGGATCAGGTGTGAGACGGGGCTCTTGGTTTTGCAGAAATCTGAGGTCCAGGGGATAGAAACAACAATTCCTGTGCCTCTGGGTGCTCCCCAGTTTCACTTTGTAAAGTAGGGAGGATGGATTTCTCAAAGACTCTTCTGTTTCCCCTCCATGTTGGCGTCAGTTCAGAGGAGCGGGCAGCTCTAGAATCTTCCCGAGGGGCTGGGTGCTGTGTGGTTTGAAAGGCTGCAGGAAGGACTTGGGGAGAAGGCCTCTGAATCGTGTGTCAATAAATTGGTTACAGTCATCTCCAAGGAGCTAAGTCTTTCCTGGCGCCTGTGTCACTTAGGAAGAGCTTCAGTTCGTGTCTCTCTTAACCACTGCCACCTGTCTTCAGGATGTCCTCTCGCCCACCTCTTTCAACCTGCGGGCCTAGGCCTCCTGGGCCTTGTTTGTTACACAGTTCCTCCTAGTGTTGCTCCCTCTCCCCATCTCCCTCTCTACTCTGGAAAGGAAGGAGCCAGCACAGACTCTGGCCTGCTCTGTATCCATTCAGCCTCTAACTCTCCTTGACCCCTCTCAACCCCCAGGGCAAGGGACAACTTTTATTCTTTTTCTGTGGCAGAGTGCAAGCAGACTTTTCTTTCCTTGGGAATGAATTATGTTCGAAACCCAGAAAATGGGAGGAAGAGAAAAGGAGTGTGTGTGCAGGGTATGTGTGCGAATACCTCTATAGGCAGGGGCAGAGCAACAGGCGCGCTCTTTTTCCATTTTCCTTTAATTAAGGCTCTGTGGACGTGTGTTTGAAAACAGAGGGTCTCCTATGCCTTTGAGGAGGGTGAGAACACTGTTTTGGCTGCGTCCCTCGCCATATGCAATGTGTGGTGGCCAATGAAACCGGGCCTGGCTCTTTCTGTTGCTTGTCTTGGCAGTCAGTTCCATGGCTTGTGTTACCAGCTCTTGGAGCTCAGGGGCTGCCAAGCTCAGTGTGCCTGTGTGTGTGTGTTCATGTGTGCCTCCGTGTGTGTGTGTGTGTGTGTGTGTGTCTTTGGAGACTTAGCAGAGACAAATGCCTCCCTGACCCAGGCTCGGAATTTCCAGTCTTTCTTTGCATTCAGGAACGGTGGGAGGCCTGGCAAGACCCCACCGCTAAGTCTGGTTTCTGCATGCAGCGGTGGTAGGGCTTCATTTCCAAAAAGAACCAAAGCCATCACACCCTACAGTGTCTGTAGCCGAGGGAAGGGAGGAGAGGAGAGAGATTGTCTAGCGACAGGACCTTCTTAGTTCCCTACAGCCCCCCCTGAGTTCTGCCAGAAACGACTTGGTGCCATTTATTAAGCCTCTATGGGCAGGGGAAAGAGCTGTGTTTTCAGGCAGAGCTTTGTGGAACACATCTTTCTGGTCTCCATCGAAGAGCAGGAGTCTGCCGGGGGACAGTTATGGATTCTTCCACGGCTGGGACAGCTCTGCAGAGCTCATTCCTGCCAGCATGCTGTGGTTTCTCCTCATCCCAGCTGCCCCTCTCCATCTTCCCATACAGCCCAATGAGTAATCCCGAATGGCCAGTGAAAGAGGTAAACGAGACTGGCACTGTGCTTCCGGAGCAAGGCCAGTGCCCTAGGCCACTCATAGTACCTGTGGCCCATAATATATGCACTCTAGCCTGCAAGTCCCAGGAGGCTTTAGGAGAAACCGAGGCAAGCTGCAGGCGCCAGGCTTCCTTTTTGTTCTTTTGAACCCAGCCATGACTAAGCACCTTTCCTTTCCATGCCATGCTGTAGTGTACTGTCAGGGTACAATATGGCCCTGCCTTCTTGGGGCTTAGGGTTGGGAAGAGGGAGAGCAGAGAATCCTCTTCCTGACTATGGAAAGACAGACCGTGGCTAGATAGGAACGATCTAGAGGTTGTCTCGAGGGGTCACTCGGCACCGACGTCTCCCCGGGAAGGACCCCACACCCTTGCCTTCCCACTCATCCAGCCAGGGCTGTTCCAGGTGCTTTTGCAAGTGCAAAGTAATTTAATTTTCTCTCCTGCCTTCCAAGGCAAGTGATGTCACTACCACTTTAGAGTAAGGAAAGTGATGCCCGGAGAGGGATAGAGCTGCCTTGGATCACATAGCCAGCAAAGTCTCACACTCAGCCAGCCGGCTCCATAGACTCCCCAGTCACCAGCCTGTGGAGCTCAGGGCAGCCTTTGCAAGAGGCAAGAGGAACGTTTTGCAGTTTGCCCTTACTATCATCCAGGCTTTCTCCGCCCTTTGCTCCCTGCCCCCTGGGTCTCTTTGGTTTTAGAGGCTGCTCGGCAGTGCCATTCAGATGGCTGGAAAGAAATCGTCGCCTGATTTTTTTTTTAATAGGTCTAAGAAGAGGCTTGGAATCGCTTGCTAGCTGGGTAACTTTGACCACATTCCCTAACCCCCCCCCCTTCCCAGCCTCCACATCTCACTTCCTCTGAGATTCCTAACCTTTGGTCCTGCAATTTGTGGTCACCGCCCTGCTACCTTTCTGTTCCATCCTGTGGAGTTCTGCCTCAGCATCTCCTACCGTCCTGGGAATCTTCTGGAGTCCAGCTCCCAAGTCTTCCTGATTCTTGATCACTGTTTGCTCCCTGCTTGTGACTTCAGCTCCACTCTTGCTCCCAGGGTTCCCAGCAATCTTGCTCATCCCCTGCTCTGTTCTTCCTGTTCTACTTTCTCTCAGCCTGGAGTCTCAGACCTGAGGCCATCTTGCACACTGTTTGCACACCATTCCCTATGCCAGCCCAGGCTGGCTGCTTATCTGGAGAACGGTTGTCTTCGGGGACCCAGGGAGTTCGAATTTTTTCTGATGTTCTAGAAAAGTTAGGGTCTCTATTCCTCTTATCTAGTCTTTCTAACTTTACAAACCTATTTTCGTTATTCTAGACGAAGGTGCTGATTATTTAAGGAGAACCCTTTCCACATGTAGCTTGCCAAAGGAGACCATGACTTACAGGCATGCACAGAGAGATTGTGTATATTGTTTTCCATATGGAAAACAAGGAAGGGGAGAGGGGAAGCTGAGTGAATGGTTGCTGCCTTTATTCTCTTGAGTGGAAGAACTGTTCGAGTTAGTGTCTGCCACTGGATATTTTTGGCCTGGAAAAGCTTTGTGGCTTTTCATTCGGCGCATCCAACGCAGCACCCAACTGTGTTCTTCCAAGTCCCTAAGAAAGGCAGCAAAGACATATAAATACCAGATATTTCTTCCAGTTCTTTCCCCATGAGCCCATCTGGCTTATTTTCCTCAAGCTGGCTTTCAGGGGGCTGTGTCAACTCTCCCGCTGTCTTAGCTCCACAACAGCTGAGGGTCCCTGTGACTTTTGAAACTTTTCTAAGTCTTATTAATACCAGGCTTGTCATCTTGGCAAGCCTGGTGAGCATTTCCTAGATTAAAAAAAAAAGAATTATTTTGTTTTTGCATACAAAGCGGTGGGTGATAGTTTGATACATGCCCAGCCTGGGTTTCCTGCCTTGGCCAGCTTATCCCTGGTCAGTGTCCCAAATTGCCAAAGCTGCTTTGGGTTCTAGCCTGTATTTTGAGGCGAAACACCCAAATAGGGCGTTTTGCTAGTACTGGGAGCTTGGTCCGTACTCATGATCCTGGTTACTCATGAAGACATTGAAGGTGTCTGTCTTCACTGAAGACCTCTGAGGCCCTGAAGGAAAGAAACACTCAGGTCTTTCTTGTCGAGCACCCAGTGTGCACTTCTCCTTTCCCACTAAATTGTTTCCATCTGGAACAAGGGTTGTGGGGGATGACTTCGCCTCTTGTCATCTTTCCTGTGTCTTCCTTGAGGTGGTGAGTTCCTCCTAGCTCTACCGAGTTCCCCCCCTAGCTCCAATCCCTCCCGCTTTTACAGATTCCCCAAATCACGTGGAACTGTGCTGTTTTCCGAAACACTGAAAGCTGCCTTTCGGCCTCTGCCGGCCAGCCAGTGGCTTTCGGTTAACGGGTTTTCATTTTGCCACAGCCCCGCTGCCCTCCCCTTCCCCCTGAGGCTGCGGGGATGACTTCTCCCTGGTGAGTGTCTCCTGGGAATGGCATGTGTTAAGGACTTTGTGGTTTGCATCTGAGCAGTAAGGGGCTTCCAAGCAGGGGAAGGAGAGAGTGGGTTTTTTGTGTCTATAAAGAAAGCTGGTGCCTGGTCCCCTGACCAAAATTTGTGTTTTGGATGGATTCACAGGGGAGCAGGAATGGCAAGAATTGGGGGCACTGGTAGCTGTTTCCGGGGGGGGGGGGTTCTTCAGTAGCAGAAAATTCATTATTCATTGGGAGCGTTTGTTAGTGTCTTGTATATATCATCTGTATGGACATAAACAGAAGCTGCAAACAGAGCCTACTGTTCTGGGAACAGAATGAGGTCTGGCTTCCATCTCAAAGGGATGGCTGAGGCGAGAAACACACCAAAGCCCTTGAGGCTTTTCTCTTGGGCTCTTCTATGGGAACGAAAGGCCTGGAGGCGAAAGCACAGCTTGATGGAGGATTCTTACATACTGAAGCTTCCTGTCGAGAATTTGCTGTTGTTCATTTCTTCACACGTTGTGCCAGAAATGATAGTAGGCAGTGGGGTCGTCTAAATAACAGCCAGCCATGACCTGTTTCCAGGTGGCACAGCTTTGCCGTAGAGGAAGAGTTGGCACCTGCCCCTTCCCTGTTCTTTTAGGGAGATGGCAGCTTGCCTGAGGGTGCCCTGGGTACGTCTTCCAGCTCTAGCTTAGGTCCCTCTGCACCATAGACCCCACTCTGTCACTGACCTTGGATACCGTCTTGGGACTAAGTTAGATCTCATGTGAGAGAGGCCTTTGGACTATTTTATGTGGCCTCCTTGTACTTATGCTGCTGTGGAGCTGTCAGGGGGAAATTCCTAGACCTGGGTCTCCCCAAAACAGAGGGTCCCATACCATGGCTCTTACATGAAAGTTGTCACTGGGAGACACTACCTTCTACTGAGTCTTCTGGGGGGTAGTGTTGGGGGTGGGGAGAGAAAAGGCAGGGTCCTAAAACCAGGGCCAGAGTCTAGCCTTGGTTCTCCTAGGGTAGGGGTGGGGAGAGAAAAGGCAGGGTCCTAAAACCAGGAGCCAGAGTCTAGCCTTGTTTCTGCCCTTATCTACCTGTGTGACCTCGGCAAGTCATTGAACTTTCTCTGAGCCTCAGCCTCAGTGTGCAAAGTAAGGATGTGGTTTAGACAAGTTCAGGGCCTTCTTCAGCTCTGAGACTGTCACTCACTGGGACGTGAGTCTCAGGTCCTTTTCAGAGGCGGCCCAGGGCACACTGAGTGCTCAGGAGGTGCATAAAAGGGAGACAGGTGTTTAGGGTATAATAGGCGAAGCTCAGATTAAAGAACCTGGGTACAAGGCAGGGAATCAGTGTAGGTGACTGGATGGACAGAGGCCATGTGGATACTGAGGAATGACCAGCCCACCATCCATGTGAACCTTTCTTTATCAGCGGTTCTCAACCTGTGGGTTGCAACCCATTCCGGGGGGGGGGGGGGCGCATATCAGATATTTACATCAGATTTGTAACAGTGGCAAAATTACGCCTACAAATTAGCAATGAAAATGATTTTACGGTTGGGGTCACCACAACGTGAGGACCCGTATTAAAGGTCACAGCTTTAGATAGGTTGAGCACCACTGTTTAGACAAAATAACATCCATTGGAATCTGTACTCTGAGGGTGCCAATCACTTACCTGTGTTTAAGAAAGAGACGCAAGGGCTTGAGAGATGGTTCAGCAGTTAAGAGCACTGGGTTTTCTTCCAGAGGACCAGGGCTGGTATCCCAGCATCTACATGGTAGCCCACAACCGTCTGTAACTCCAGTCCCAGGGGATCTGACACTTTCTTCTGGCCTTCAAGGGCTCTGTGCCCACACAGTGCATAGACATACATGCAGGCAAAACACTTGTACACATCAAATATAATGAAAACTAAAAATAGATAGGCCCAAGTCTTAGATGGGGGAGCATATTTCATCCTTAGAGGTGAAACAGAGCCTGGGTCTTGTGTCGTGTGGCTAAAAGCCTCCCCAGTGTACTCCTCTCTTGAGTCCAGGTCTGAGAAATTGAGTGAGGACAGTGTAGGTCATGCTTCAAGGTCACTTACATATGAGGACAGATAGCCCCAAATGTCACGGCCTTATGAATACTCAAACTCTGACAGCAGAGAAGCCTGGTCCAGCAGATGTCCAGGTCCCCTGTCCTGACCTGTGTGTCCTCCACAAAGAGACAGATGAACACATCTCCATTACCTGCCTACCCCACCCTATTCCTTGATTTCTAAGACTATAAAAACTGGCTTTTATAGACTTGGGACTATCTGTGAGAAAAGGGAGAAACTGATTTCCATACAGCACTGGAATGGATGAATGGTTTTGCTTTAGAATGTTCCCTACAGGTCTTTCTCAGAGGTACAAACCTCTAGCCTCCATGTAGTGCCCGCTGGCTCCGAATAGCTTGTCAGGAATAGGGTGGGTAGAAGGATGATGAGTGGCTGGATAGAAGGGGGGGCTGGAGGACTAGATATGCCTGCATTTATTGGCAGACGGACCTTCTTCCCTTCTCCCTGTGCCTGGGAATTATTGTGTCTTACCCATGAGATTCTCTCAGTAAAGAGAAGGAAGAAATTAGAATTCCTTGGGTGTCCGTCCCCATTCTATGTCCTTTCAAGTCTGCATCTGTCTTTCCTTGTGTGGGGCTGTGAGAATAGAGAGATCCTGGAGGCGTTTTCTGGTGGTGCCTGGAGAAAGTGCACGCCAGTTAATTCCATCTTCTTTACCTCAGTCTCTTCCTCCGGTATCAGACATAATACATGGTCCACCTTTAACTTTGCTTAGGCTCATCTTGTATTCATGGTGGCTCAACAAGTGTGCAGAGTAGGATGTGTGATTTGAGGGGAGGCACCCTGCCAGACCAAAAATAGCTGCCTCTTGAGCAGGTGTGAAGGTGCTTCAGATTCCACGGCTGTGCCAGGTCTCCTCGGCGGCCGCCACTGCAGTTTAAATCCACCCCACCTGCTTTAACTGCAGAGCCCCGAGGAGTTCTCTTTCTGCCTTGCAAGGGATTCTAGCCAGGTCTGGTGCCGTGGGTGGGAAGACTGCGGGCAGCCTGGTGCCAAGCCAGTGCCGGATAAAGGTTGCCCACGGTTGGCCTAAGCATCGCCTTTAGGAAGGGCCAACTCTCCTGCCTGCCAGAGATGGATGGCCTCTGTGAGTCAATTGGCTGAGCTTCCCTGTGTCACTGAGACTTGGAGCTTTCAGGCAGGAAGAGCAGGGAGAAAGGATTCAGGGGAACCCCTGGTGAGAGAAAGGATGGGCCCTGGCAGCTCACAGAGCCTGTTCACCTCAAACTAACCTACCCATCCTGCTTTCTCCAACCCCTCTAGGCAGGCCTGCCACTCCTCCTGCCATGATGCCTGGGCAGATCCCGGACCCTTCAGTGACCGCAGGCTCTCTGCCAGGGCTCGGCCCCCTCACTGCACTTCCCAGCTCTGCTCTGACCACAGAGGAGCTGAAATACGCTGACATCCGCAACATTGGGGCCATGATTGCACCCTTGCACTTCCTGGAGGTGAAACTGGGCAAGAGGCCCCAACCCGTGAAGAGTGAGGTGAGAACTCTGATCTCTTGACAAAGCCCAGGTTTCCAGGTTTGGTTCTAAACACACCTTGGAATCTTAGCCTTGCTCCTCAAAGCGTGTGTGGTCTGAGAACCAGCAGAAGAAATGGGGGCTCAGGCCACCACCCCGACTCAGGCTGAGTCGGAACCTGTGTTTTTACCAAGCTCTAGGGGATCCATGCATGCATTAAGTTTGAGCCACCCTGGGCTAGGGCAGGAGGCTTACCTTGCCTGTGGGTCTAGGAAGTGACAGGAGAGTGATGATACTGAGAAGACTGAGCCTGAGACTTATCATGGCAGTGTCTCTGCAGTGCTGGGAGGCTCAGCAGAGGTCATGGAAATGTGCATGTGCTTTGAGAAGCTCAGAGGGGATTGAGTTCTTTTTTAAAGCGTCAGCAGCCACATCACTCTCTTCTGCCCTCTTTGTCCCCCATCTGGAGCTGAACAAGGGAACTTGGGGAAAAGGATGGTGTCCTCTTCCTCTTTATACTGCTGCAGAGATAGGCATGGTTTCTCCTGAGGTGGGACTTGCAGAGGACGGACTTACGGAGCATCCCCTGTTGAGGTCTTCCAAACCTGCTACTCTTCTCTGCGTCAGGACAGCTGTTCCCCAGTGACATGTGAGAGGCAGCTGTCCCTAGAGTGGGTAACATTATACCAATGTAGTGCATGCCTGGGGCATTTACCCAGTGCTGATGATTGGATTTGTCCAAAGGCCCACCCTGGCGAGGGCTCCTGAAGAGGGACATTCTTCCAAAAAGCCACCACCTGGAAGGAGCCAGGGGTGGGAGGTAGAGGAAGCGCTGGACTGGGCTGGGAGCAGGCAGTGGCCAGGCATCGTGTGTGTACCCCTGGGTGTGCGCTTGGTCCTGCCTGGAGGAAGCATTCACATGTGAAGGTGAGCCTCTGTGGAGACTCAGGGCTGGGAGGCTGGAAGCTACGGAGAGGGGGCTTCCCGGCGGAGAAGGGCGTCGGGCTGTGCACTAAGTGCGTTCACCGGCCTTTGCTGTCCTCATTCCCTCTCTCCCTGTGAGTACCATGAAGGCTGCAGAGAAGGGCTTCCAGGGCCTTGCCCTGAGTGGCAAGCTCACTCTTTGCACGCTTCAGCTGGCTTTTAGGTGTGTTTGGTTTGGCCTGCTCAGTGTTTTAAAAGCAACCCAAACAGATACTTCACCTACAATTTTCAACAAGAGATTTAGAAAATCTGGTCACACACTGCTTTTGGTCAGGCATCCCAAAGGCTAAATGAATAGAGAGAGTCGGCTCACTCCTTTTTTGTTTTTCCTTCGAGACAGGGTTTCTTTGTGTAGACCTGGCTGTCCTGGAACTCACGCTGTTGACCAGGCTGGCCTCGAACTCACAGAGATCCCCCCGCCCCCCATCTCTGCCTCCCAAGTGCTGGGATTAAAGGTGTGAGCCGCCACTGCCTGGCTGTCTAACTCTTGTTTACCGTAGACATGATGCCCCCGTACGTAGAACCTTGACTCTGCTTTTCCTGTTGGTTTTTCCTATCTTACCACTAGCCGCCTTCATTCCCCTCCACTTCATGGCCCATCCTGGAGCCTCTGGACTTGAGACATCCGGATTAAAGACACCATAGGTATCTACTAAAGTCTGCTGATTCCAAAATGGGAACTGACGGGCTCTGTTCCTCTGAGTTTACTGTCAGTGCCGCTGTGCTATTGATAGTACTTCCGTCACAGAAGACCCTTGTCTTCTGGCCTTCCGCTTCTCACCTTCCCAGGCCTATTACCTGAAAGTGGGTCCTTTCTGGATTGTTCAGTTGTGAGAGGCACTAACTGAACAGTGTCATTAAATTTTGACGTCGTGAGTGGCTTGATGAAACCAGCCACCTCGGGTAAGCCTTAACCTGGCTGTGACCTGCCTCAGGATGCAGCATTTTCCATTTCTCGCCTCCCCCCAAAGGCCTTGGGAGGAGCTTCCTTTTTTTGGAGGAAAAAGCCCATTTTGGGGTTGGGTATTTTTACATTTCACAGCCACCCCCAGACTGGTGGCATATGCCCTGTACCTGATAGTGACGCTCTGTCCTCACAGGCACCCACAGACATGTACCATCCAGGCCGTGAAGATGACAAGCTGTTTTTAGGGCGTATTTGCATGTCCTCTCTCTCTCTCTCACTGTCAGGCTGCAGCATGGTGGGGGCAGAGAGGCAGTGGAAGCGACTGAATTGCACTTCACAGGGGAAGGCCAGCCATGCCCCTGGAACTTACTTCCAGAGGTTGCTTAGGTCAGACAGAGGGCTTAGAAGCTCTTTCTTGGAACTAACGGAGAACCTCACAGCCGATGAAGCTTATGTGGAAGGTCTATCTGCGTACGACAAACGGCCTTTGCATCTTTTCCCTCGGTGTCTTAGGCTGGTACAGCTGTCTGCAGTGATGCTGAGGCACCGAGGCTCACATCGGGCCCTGTGCCAAGTTCTCACCACACACACTATCTTTCACTCCTTACCTAGTCCTGGTGGCCACGTCCTCCCCATAGCAGGGAGCAGGAACTTGAGGTGAAGCGGCTTGAGCGCATGCTGCTGAGCAGTGGCGTGCCAGGTCCTGGGCAGTGATGGCTACTTGCTGCCATCACAGCTCTTATCTCCTGTGTCCCAGGCTGGGCAGCCAGTGTAGTGCTAGTCAGTCTGTGAGGCTCCTGGTTTTTCTCGAAGGCCTCTGTGAAGTCACTCTTTCCGCCTTCCCCCCACTTTCCTCTCTGTGCGTTCATGTGTGTGAATGTGGGTGCAGAGGTTAGAGGACAAGCTCAGATGTCAGCCCCTCACATTTCTGGGTCAAAACAGGCTCTCTGTTGGTTCTTTTCACTGTGTGTACCAGGCTAGCCAGCTCCAAAGCTTTGGGAGATTGTCCAGTCTTCGCCTCTCCTCTCTCCACAGGAGCAGTAGGGTGTCAGACACTCAGGCTATGTGTCTCTGTTTTCACAAGAGTTGCAGGGATTCCATGTCAGGCCCTCACTCTTGTACAAAGTGCGTTCACCCAGCGAGCCATCTCCCCGGCCCTGAAGTCATGCTTGACAGTAGACTTGTTAGAGGTGAGTCTGTAAGGCTGAGTGACGCTCACGGTTACCCTGTAGGAGAACCACGAAGCAGTGTGACTTTGGAGCCAGTGAAGTTAACCTTAGGCAGCACTGTCCCCTTAGCTGAGCTGTCTCTCGGACAGAGGATGCCAGATCCAATGAGCCCTAAAGCACTCATCCATTCAAAGACAGGGCTGTTCACTAGTGGCAGCGTTTCAGGGTCCCAAGGGGCACAGGCCAAGCCGCCGTGCAGGCAGCTCCATCAGAATTGGCTCTCAGGCCATCCGCCTTGCAGAGATGGACCACATCCAAACACACGCAGCAGTTCAGCTGGGGAAAGTCAGAGGGCTTAAGCAACAGGCTGTGAGTTACGGAGCCCTTTGCGCTGATGTTACTACTGTCAGCAGCTGGCATGACACTGACACTTTATGGGGCCAATTGCTTGTCTGCAGTCCATCCACTACGTACCCACTACGTGCCAAACGTGTTCTACGCCGAAGCCAGAACTATCAGCAGAGGAAATGGAGTCCTTCCTTCTCTTGGAGCTATTTATTGTCATGGGCACCACCAAAAAAAAAAAAAAAGGCAATTAATTTATAGTATTAAAGGCCAGGTAGTGGTCAGCCAGCCCCATCTGATGAGATGGTACAGTGCTCATTCTGTTGACTGGACAGGGACTCGAGGGACAGTCTGTCCTGTTGATGTGTGTGTGTGTATATGTGTGTGTGCGCGCGTGTGCACGAGCAATGTTTTAAGAGCCAATGTTTCTTTCTTGTCTCTCCCCTCTTTTCAAGGCAGCCCTGCTTTCTAGAAGACTCTAGACTTTTCCTCCTGTTATTTTATGACCCGCATCCCCTGATGGGAATACGCCCTAGCCAGCTAGTCCCTTCTGACCTGGAGATCTCAACCCTGCTACAGTGGGCAGCTGTGGCCTGGTGGCCTGGCGGCCTGGAGTGCATTTTCAGGTGTGAAGGACGGAGGCCAGATGCCTCACCCTCGTATACTCAGCCACACATAGCAGGCATTCACTCAACCCTAGTGGACAGGACCCCCACACCCCACGCAGCCCCTCACAGGCTGCAGCACTTGGGAGAGGGGCCCAGCACCTTCACTTGGCAGCACAGCGGAGCTGGCTCTGGAGGCCTGGGTGTGGGTGAGTTGGCCCCTAGGTCATGAGAGTAGGAGAGCTGACCCTGTCCTCTGCTCATGGAGGCCTTAAGTGGCAGTAGCAGTGCTGAAGAACACGCCCGGGTGGTGCTGATAAGAGAGAGCCAGTGGGTTGATCAGCTCAGCTACGACCCAGGCCCAGATCCAGGGCTCTGAGTTGGCCCACCCTAAAATCTCTATCATCTAGGAACTGTTGGGATGTGTGCAAAGGCCAGTTCTGCTGTTCCAAAGCTTCAGCATCTTCATGACACAGGGCACCGACAGGATAAGCGGGAGGGTCTGGATACGATCCAGGATTGATGGAGTCACGGAAACCAGAGATCTCACACCTGACCGTGACTAATTGCAATGGACATTTATTTGCAAGTGAAAATGTGTTTGGAGGGAGCCTAAGGACTCAAAAGGAGGCTGGTCTGGGTGACCTTCCAGGACAGAGGTTATAAACCATCAGTCAGGCTGGGCTGGGGTGGTGTGTGTGTGTGTGTGTGTGTGTGTGTGTGTGTGTGTGTGTGTGGCCAGCCTGCAGACTGAGCCTTGTTGGTGCTGTGAAATACCTCAACAGTCAGTGGTCTCCTCCTTCCAGTGCCCTCCCCTCTCCTCTCCTTCCTCTTGCTTTATTTTGCTATTCCCCCCCCCCCCATAAGCTATGGTCTCCCTACATAGCCCAGGCTCGAACTCATGAGCCTCCTTCAGTCTCATCCTCCTGCACATTGACATTTAGTGATGGCCACCCCGCTGTGAGTGTGTGTGTGTGTGTGTGTGTGTGTGTGTGTGTGCGCGCGCGCGCA